TTTCATAAACAATATCATTATTCATATTTCATTTCTTCTTCTTTGATTCAGCACCAGCATCATTTGCACAAGCTCGCATTTGGCTTGATGAACGCATTCGATTCGATCCAGACAAACCTCCAATAGCCATCTATAATATGCCTTTTGTTTATCGTCTGCAACCAGGCCATACTTTATCAATTAAACAACTTCATCATGCTCTTCATCTCACTGTTGACAAACATCCCTCACTTCATACATCACTTCATTTTGACATCCAAAAAAATATACTTATGCAACGAGTTATTACTCATGAAGATAAAAGTAATAATAATATGTTTTCAATCATCGAAACTATTTATGAAACAGACGAAGAACTTAATGAGATTTTACACGATGAGAAACGTAATCCTCATCTTTTTGATCTTGCTCAAGGTCTTGTCTTTCAATGCCATATTGTTTATTACAAACAAATCTCTTCAAATCATCTTCTTTCTCACAAAGATCTACTTATTTTCAACTTTCATCATGCTCTATTTGATTTTCCATCAATGAACATATTTCTTCATGATCTGAATGAAGCATATACAACAGGTCAATTATTATATAATGACAACACTAATCTCCGTTATCTCGATTGTAAATATAAATACTACTTCTACTTTTCTCTCCTTTAATACAGTATTTTTTACTCATGTAGATGCTATTATTGAACAACAAATGTCAATGACTGGTGCAACTATGTTTTGGCTTGATGTTCTTCATGATTGTAAACTTGATCAACCTCTATCATTACCATTTGATCGATATCGTCTTTCCAATGAATTTCGAACTGGTCGTGGAACATCTATTTCATTTGATTTTGGTCAAGATCTTTCACATGATTTTCTTATTCATGCATCATCAAATAACATATCAATTCAACATCTCACATTTGCTATTTATTTCATCTTTCTATTTAAATCAACTAATGGACAAGCAGATCTATGTCTGGCTCTAAACATCAATAATAATCGATATAGAGACGAACTCAAATCAATCATTGGACTGTTTGAGAATGTCATTCCATTACGATGTCAATTAGATCCTCATTTG